AATCTGCCATGGCCCCTATTTACCGCCTCCTGCATTTGGCTGCTGCCAAGTCCAGATCTCTCATGGGTCCCTGTACGGCCTCCATTGCTGCTGTCTCCATCGCCACACTCTGCTGCCATGTGCCACTTCAGTCCTCTTCACACTGCTGGTGTGTTGAATTTTTTTGACATAGGGTGCAGGCAGATTACGGGCCTCCCTCACATAGCTGCTGCCAGGTACCCCCTAATCTGCCATGGGCCCCTATAACCCGCCCATCGCCACACTCTGCTGCCATGTGCCACTTTCAGGTCTCTTCACACTGCTGGTGTGTTAAATTTTTTGACATAGGGTGCAGGCAATTATTACGGGCCTCACATAGCTGCTGCCAGGCCCCTAATCTGCCATGGGCCCCTATATACCGCCTCCTCATGCTGCTGCCAAGTCCAGAGTCTGTCATGGTCCCTGTACGGCCTCCCATTGCTGCTGTCTCCATCGCCACACTCTGCTGCCATGTGCCACTTTCAGGTCTCTTCACACTGCTGGTGTGTTAAATTTTTTGACATAGGGTGCAGGCAATTACGGGCCTCACATAGCTGCTGCCAGGCCCCTAATCTGCCATGGGCCCCTATATACCGCCTCCTCATGCTGCTGCCCAAGTCCAGAGTCTGTCATGGGTCCCTGTACGGCCTCCCATTGCTGCTGTCTCCATCGCCACACTCTGCTGCCATGTGCCACTTTCAGGTCTCTTCACACTGCTGGTGTGTTAAATTTTTTTGACATAGGGTGCTGGCAGATTACGGGCCTCACATAGCTGCTGCCAGGCCCCTAATCTGCCATGGGCCCCTATATACCGCCTCCTCCTCCTCATGCTGCTGCCAAGGTCCAGAGTCTCTCATGGGTCCCTGTACGGCCTCCCATTGCTGCTGTCTCCATCGCCACACTCTGCTGCCATTGCCACTTTCAGGTCTCTTCACACTGCTGGTGTGTTAAATTTTTTGACATAGGGTGCTGGCAGATTAGATTCACATAGGGCCTCCCATAGCTGCTGCCAGGCCCCTAATCTGCCATGGGCCCCTATATACCGCCTCCTCATGCTGCTGCCAAGTCCAGAGTCTGTCATGGTCCCTGTACGGCCTCCCATTGCTGCTGTCTCCATCGCCACACTCTGCTGCCATGTGCCACTTTCAGGTCTCTTCACACACTGCTGTGTGTTAAATTTTTGACATAGGGTGCTGGCAGATTACGGGCCTCCATAGCTGCTGCCAGGCCCCTAATCTGCCATGGGCCCCTATATACCGCCTCCTCATGCTGCTGCCAAGTCCAGAGTCTCTCATGGGTCCCTGTACGGCCTCCCATTGCTGCTGTCTCCATCGCCACACTCTGCCATGTGCCACTTTCAGGTCTCCTCACACTGCTGGTGTGTTAAATTTTTTGACATAGGGTGCTGGCAGATTACGGGCCTCCTATAGCTGCTGCCAGGCCCCTAATCTGCCATGGGCCCCTATATACCGCCTCCTCATGCTGCTGCCAAGTTCCAGAGTCTGTCATGGGTCCCTGTACGGCCTCCCATTGCTGCTGTCTCCATCGCCACACTCTGCCATGTGCCACTTTCAGGTCTCCTCACACTGCTGGTGTGTGTTGAATTTTTTGACATAGGGTGCTGGCAGATTACGGGCCTCCTATAGCTGCTGCCAGGCCCCTAATCTGCCATAAGCCCCTATATACCGCCTCCTCATGCTGCTGCCAAGTCCAGAGTCTGTCATGGGTCCCTGTACGGCCTCCCATTGCTGCTGTCTCCATCGCCACACTCTGCCATGTGCCACTTTCAGGTCTCCTCACACACTGCTGTGTGTTGAATTTTTTGACATAGGGTGCTGGCAGATTACGGGCCTCCTATAGCTGCTGCCAGCCCCCCTAATCTGCCGTAGGCCCCTATATACCGCCTCCTCATGCTGCTGCCCAGGTCCAGAGTCTCTCATGGGTCCCTGTACGGCCTCCCATTGCTGCTGTCTCCATCGCCACACTCTGCCATGTGCCACTTTCAGGTCTCCTCACACTGCTGGTGTGTGTTCCATTTTTTGTCATAGGGTGCTGGCAGATTATGGGCCTCCCATAACTGCTGCCAGGCCCCTAATCTGCCATGGGCCCCCTATACCGACTCCTCATGCTGTGACGTTGCAACAAGGTGGAATTCAACCCTACATATGTTAGACCGCCTTTACGAACAGCAAAAGGCCATCACAGATTTCCTGATGTTAAAAGCAGATAAAGGTACTCCCTGTGTAACTTAGATGTCAGCCATTGGCAGCTCATGCGTGACACCTGCGCTTGCTCAGGCCCTTTGAGGAGGCCACGCTATTCGTGAGTCGGCAGGACTATGGGATGAACGACGTCATTCCTCTGTTGCACGTCCTGGAACAAATGCTGTTACAATGGCTGGTCAGGGTGCGGTAGACGTGGCGCACAGATCTCAACGCCACATGGCCCCTGTGGGGGCAGGACTGGAAGAAGAGGAGGAGGTAGAGGAGGACATTGGTGCTCAGGAATTATTGAGTGAAATGGGTGGTTTTTTTTCCACTCAGCGGACAGGAGTGGAGGAGCAGGAGCATCTGGTAGAGGAGGAGGAAGAGGAGACAGAGGACCTAGACGCACCGTGGCAGTATGCTGTGGAGATGGAGGCAGGGAGTCCCTCGCATTCCTTGGCACAAATGGCCCATAGCATGCTCGGTTTGCTTGCGTAGCGACAGCCGAATAATAACCATCAGACAGAGGGATGACTTTTGGCTGTCCACCTTGTTGGACCCTCGCTACCGTTCAAAAATGGTGGCCTTTTTCACACCTGCTGAGAGGGAGGCCAAAATAACGTACTATAAAAAACACCTATGTAGTCAGCTGGTCTCTGCCTGTCTGCGCCAACGTCCATCCTCAGACACTGTGGCCCTGTGCGCTCGTTTCCGCTGCCATGGCAGCAGGGGAGGGGTGGGGTGGTAGGAGCAGTGGCAGCTCCACCAGCAGCGGCTGCCTCAGTCTGCAGTCGATGATGAGTAGCTTTCTTCACCAGCGCAGTGAGGAAACTACTAACCAGCCGCAGCAGCAGCAGCAGCAGCAGCATCAGGTGGACCTGGAGCAGGACCTCAAACAACAGGCTTAGGCCTACTTGGACAGCACCCTGCCAACCGAGGTAGACAATCCCCTTGACTACTGGGCAACGAAACTTGACCTTTGGCCCCAACTAGCTGAATTTGCCCTTGAAAGGCTGTCATGCCCGGCCAGTAGCGTGGCATCGGAGCGCGTGTTTAGCGGCAGGAGGTATTGCAACTCCGCGGAGGACACGACTGTCCACCCAAAGTGTGGAGAGACTCACGTTTGTGAAAATGAATCAGGCGTGGATTAGTCTGGATTTCAAACCACCAGTTCCTGACACAACTGACTAAATCCGCATGAATCATGCCCCAAACATGTGCCACTTTCAGGTCTCCTCACACTGCTGGTGTGTTCCATTTTTTGTCATAGGGTGCTGGCAGATTACGGGCCTCCCATAGCTGCTGCTGCCAGGCCCCTAATCTGCCATGGGCCCCTATACCGCCTCCTCATGCTGCTGCCAAGTCCAGAGTCTCTCATGGGTCCCTGTACGGCCTCCCATTGCTGCTGCCTCCATCGCCACACTCTGCCATGTGCCACTTTCAGGTCTCCTCACACTGCTGGTGTGTTCCATTTTTTGTCATAGGGTGCTGGCAGATTACGGGCCTCCCATAGCTGCTGCCAGGCCCCTAATCTGCCATGGGCCCCTATACCCGCCTCCTCATGCTGCTGCCAGGTCCAGAGTCTCTCATGGGTCCCTGTACGGCCTCCCATTGCTGCTGTCTCCATCGCCACACTCTGCCATGTGCCACTTTCAGGTCTCCTCACACTGCTGGTGGGTTCCATTTTTTGTCATAGGGTGCTGGCAGATTACGGGCCTCCCATAGCTGCTGCCAGGCCCGTAATCTGCCATGGGCCCCCGTACCGACTCCTCATGCTGCTGCCAGGCCCGTAATCTGTCATGGGCCACTGTTGTCGCTTGTTGGCATATTCCGCTCGTTCAGATGCTCCTTCTCCTGCTACTCCTCTTCACGGATTCCGTCAGCAGTCTTTCTGGAATCCGTTTCCAAGAGACAACAGTTTGCGAGCACGCACCCGACGGTGCAGAAGCTGAACGTCCTCCTGTCCAAGTTGCTGCTGCCAGGCTCGTAATCTGTCATGCGCCCCTGTACCGCCTCCTCATGCTGCTGCCAGGTCCAGAGTGTGTCATGGGCCCCCGTACCGACTCCTCATGCTGCTGCCAGGCCCGTAATCTGTCATGGGCCCCTGTACCGCCTCCCCATGCTGCTGCCAGGTCCAGAGTGTGTCATGGGTCCCTGTACGGCCTCCCATTGCTGCTGCCAGGCCCGTAATCTGCCATGGGCCCCTGTACCGACTCCTCATGCTGCTGCCAGGCCCGTAATCTGTCATGGGCCCCTGTACCCCGCCTCCTCATGCTGCTGCCAGGTCCAGAGTGTGTCATGGGTCCCTGTACGGCCTCCCATTGCTGCTGTCTCTATCGCCACACTCTGCCATGTGCCACTTTCAGGTCTCCTCACACTGCTGGTGGTTTCCATTTTTGTCATAGGGTGCTGTATGGCCTCCCATTGCTGCTGCCTCCACCGCCACACTGTGGCTCCACACTCTGGTTTTGGCCCCGTGACTGCCCAAATGAGTGAAGTGTGCGGTGATTCTAAGATCGACGGCACTCATCTGCATGTCATACTGACTGACAGTATTATTTCTCTTCCCCAGCAGACTCCAAGGGCATTTAAATTAAAGGTACAGTGTTCTGCACTAATATTAAGTCTCTCTGAAGCCTAGAAACACCCTTTTTTAAGTTAAATTCACAGCGAATTTATTCGACTCGAATCGAATATTGTCCACGAATTCGCCGAATCAGTCGAATCGAATTTTTCATTTCTTCGCTCATATAATTGCTCTAAATGTAGTATTTATTGAGAACCATGGTTCATATATTGAATAAAAATGCACTCACATGTTATGGTGCCTGTATCCCAGCACCAGTCTGTGCAGCCAATATTGGAACAACATATCTCCCTGTTTAAAGTCGGAATGTGCTACAAGCCTCACGTTAGCAGTCCGGACGTGACATCATGTAGGACCCAGAAGTGACGGGATCACGCTTTCTATGTATGTTTCACCTGGCGGCGTCTTCAGGAAGGGACATGTCGCCAAAATCCTAACTCACATTTGTGGTCAGTGTCGAATCCTCCCCTTACAATGGTGGTCCATGTAGAAGCACCCCTTAAATTGGTGGTCAGTGTAAATTCCCCCCTTGGTCAGTGTAGAAATGTATTGGTTGTTGGTGTAAAATCCCCCCATTAAATTGGTTGTCATGGTAAATTCTTCATTACATTGGTGGTTAGTGCAACTTTCCCTTTACATTGGTGGTAAGTTCTGAATTGCCCTTACAATAGGGATCCGTGTATATCCCCACTAACATTGGTGGTCGCAAAAAATTTCACCTCCCATCCCCATCCAGCACTGCCACTAATCCCATCCACCCCAAACACTGCCACTCATCCCAATCCCCCCACCAGCACTGTCACTCATCCCAACCCCCCCATTGCCACTTATCCCATCAACCCCCAGCACTGCCACTGATCCCAGGAATCCTAGGAGTGTTCTGTCTATTGATGGGTCCCCTCACCTTCTCATTCTATGGTGTGCAGGCAGTAAGGAAATGATGTGCTGTAACCTTCAGCAAGCAATCAGTGAGCTGTAATGATGTGCTGGAACCTCTATCAACCAATAAGTGAGCTGTAATGATGTACTGTAACCTTTAGCAACCAATCAGGGAGCTGTAATGATGTGCAATAACCTCTAGCACCCAATCAGTGAGTCAATTTTTTACAAAACAAATTGTTTAAAAAAAAAATCGCTGCACAAATACTGTGTGATATATTTTATTCTCTAGTGCCTCTGCTAAAAAAAAATATATATATATATAATTAGAGATGAGCGAATTATTCAAAAATTCGATTCGGCTGATTCGGCGAATTCGCGGAATAAATTCGATTCGAGTCGAATATATTCGCTGCGAATTTAACTTATAAAAAGGGTGTTTCTAGGCTTCAGAGAGCCTTTATATTAGTGCAGAAAACTGTACCTTTAATTTAAATGCCCTTGGAGTCTGCTGGGGAAGAGAAATAATACTGTCAGTCAGTATGTCATGCAGATGAGTGCCGTCGATCTTAGAATCACCGCACACTTCACTCATTTGGGCAGTCACGGGGCCAAAAACCAGAGCCACAGTGTGGCGGTGGAGGCAGCAGCAATGGGAGGCCATACAGCACCCTATGACAAAATGGAACCCACCAGCAGTGTGAGGAGACCTGAAAGTGGCACATGGCAGAGTGTGGCGATGGAGACAGCAGCAATGGGAGGCCGTACAGGGACCCATGACACACTCTGGACCTGGCAGCAGCATGAGGAGGCGGTACAGGGGCCCATGACAGATTACGGGCCTGGCAGCAGCATGAGGAGTCGGTACGGGGGCCCATGGCAGATTACGGGCCTGGAATTTAGCAGCAATGGGAGGCCTAATCTGCCAGCACCCTATGACAAAATGGAACCCACCAGCAATGTGAGGAGACCTGAAAGTGGCACATGGCAGAGTGTGGCGATGGAGACAGCAGCAATGGGAGGCCGTACAGGGACCCATGACACACTCTGGACCTGGCAGCAGCATGAGGAGGAGGCGGCTACAGGTACAGGGGCCCATGGCAGATTACGGGCCTGGCAGCAGCAATGAGAAGGCCGTACAGGGGCCCATGACACACTCGGGACCTGGCAGCAGCATGAGGAGGCGGTACAGGGGCCCATGACAATTACGGAACCCTGGCAGCAGCAGTGTGAGGAGACCGGTAAATGGGGGCCCATGGCAGATTACGGGCCTGGCAGCAGCAATGGGAGGCCGTACAGGGACCCATGACACACTCTGGACCTGGCAGCAGCATGAGGAGGCTGTACAGGGGCCCATGACAGATTACGGGCCTGGCAGCAGCATGAGGAGTCGGTACGGGGGCCCATGGCAGATTACGGGCCTGGCAGCAGCAATGGGAGGCCCGTAATCTGCCAGCACCCTATGACAAAATGGAATCCCACCAGCAGTGTGAGGAGACCTGAAAGTGGCACATGGCAGAGTGTGGCGATGGAGACAGCAGCAATGGGAGGGCCGTACAGGGACCCATGACACACTCTGGACCTGGCAGCAGCATGAGGAGGCGGTACAGGGGCCCATGACAGATTACGGGCCTGGCAGCAGCATGAGGAGTCGGTACGGGGGCCCATGGCAGATTACGGGCCTGGCAGCAGCAATGGGAGGCCATACATCAGCACCCTATGACAAAATGGAACCCACCAGCAGTGTGAGGAGACCTGAAAGTGGCACATGGCAGAGTGTGGCGATGGAGACAGCAGCAATGGGAGGCCCGTACAGGGGCCCATGACACACTCTGGACCTGGCAGCAGCATGAGGAGGCGGTACAGGGGCCCATGACAGATTACGGGCCTGGCAGCAGCATGAGGAGTCGGTACGGGGGCCCATGGCAGATTACGGGCCTGGCAGCAGCAATGGGAGGCCCGTAATCTGCCACCCCCTATGACAAAATGGAACCCACCAGCAGTGTGAGGAGACCTGAAAGTGGCACATGGCAGAGTGTGGCGATGGAGACAGCAGCAATGGGAGGCCGTACAGGGACCCATGACACACTCTGGACCTGGCAGCAGCATGAGGAGGCGGTACAGGGGCCCATGACAGATTACGGGCCTGGCAGCAGCATGAGGAGTCGGTACAGGGGCCCATGGCAGATTACGGGCCTGGCAGCAGCAATGGGAGGCCCGTAACAGCACCCTATGACAAAATGGAACCCACCAGCAGTGTGAGGAGACCTGAAAGTGGCACATGGCAGAGTGTGGCGATGGAGACAGCAGCAATGGGAGGCCGTACAGGGACCCATGACACACTCTGGACCTGGCAGCAGCATGAGGAGGCGGTACAGGGGCCCATGACAGATTACGGGCCTGGCAGCAGCATGAGGAGTCGGTAACGGGGGCCCATGGCAGATTACGGGCCTGGCAGCAGCAATGGGAGGCCCGTAATCTGCCAGCACCCTATGACAAAATGGAACACACCAGCAGTGTGAGGAGACCTGAAAGTGGCACATGGCAGAGTGTGGCGATGGAGACAGCAGCAATGGGAGGCCGTACAGGGACCCATGACACACTCTGGACCTGGCAGCAGCAAGAGGAGGCGGTACAGGGGCCCATGGCAGATTACGGGCCTGGCAGCAGCATGAGGAGTCGGTACGGGGGCCCATGGCAGATTACGGGCCTGGCAGCAGCAATGGGAGGCCGTACAGGGACCCATGACACACTCTGGACCTGGCAGCAGCATGAGGAGGCGGGTACAGGGGCCCATGGCAGATTACGGCCCTGGCAGCAGCAATGGGAGGCCCGTAATCTGCCAGCACCCTATGACAAAAATGGAACCCACCAGCAGTGAGGAGAGACCTGAAAGTGGCACATGGCAGAGTGTGGGCGATGGAGACAGCAGCAATGGGAGGCCGTACAGGGACCCATGACACACTCTGGACCTGGCAGCAGCAAGAGGAGGCGGTACAGGGGCCCATGGCAGAGTGGCGAAGCGTAAGCAGCTTAAATTGAAGGCCATACAGAGGCCTATGTTAAAAATAATAACATGTTTGGGGCATGATTCATGGCGGATTTAGTCAGTTGTGTCAGGAACTGGTGGTTTGAAATCCAGACTAATCCACGCCTGATTCATTTTCACAAACGTGAGTCTCTCCACACTTTGGGTGGACAGTCGTGTCCTCCGCGGAGTTAGAATACCTCCTGCCGCACTAAACACGCGCTCTGATGCCACGCTACTGGCCGGGCATGACAGCCTTTCAAGGGCAAATTCAGCTAGTTGGGGCCAAAGGTCAAGTTTCGTTGCCCAGTAGTCAAGGGGATTGTCTACCTCGGTTGGCAGGGTGCTGTCCAAGTAGGCCCAAGCCTGTTGTTTGAGGTCCTGCTCCAGGTCCACCTGATGCTGCTGCGGCTGGTTAGTAGTTTCCTCACTGCGCTGGTGAAGAAAGCTACTCATCATCGACTGCAGACTGAGGCAGCCGCTGCTGGTGGAGCTGCCACTGCTCCTACCACCCCACCCCCCTCCCCTGCTGCCATGGCAGCAGAACGCGAGCGCACAGGGCCCACAGTGTCTGAGGATGGACGTTGGAGCAGAAAGGCAGAGACCAACTGACTACATAGGTGGTTTTTATAGTACGTTATTTTGGCCTCCCTCTCAGCAGGTGTGAAAAAGGCCACCATTTTTGAACGGTAGCGAGGGTCCAACAAGGTGGACAGCCAAAAGTCATCCCTCTGTCTGATGGTTATTATTCGGCTGTCGCTACGCAAGCAACCGAGCATGCTATGGGCCATTTGTGCCAAGGAATGCGAGGGACTCCCTGCCTCCATCTCCACAGCATACTGCCACGGTGCGTCTGGGTCCTCTGTCTCCTCCTCCTCCTCTACCAGATGCTCCTGCTCCTCCACTCCTGTCCGCTGAGTGGAAAAACCACCCATTTCACTCAATAATTCCTGAGCACCAATGTCCTCCTCTACCTCCTCCTCTTCTTCCTGTCCTGCCCCCACAGGGGTCATGTGGCGTTGAGATCTGTGCGCCACGTCTACCGCACCCTGACCAGCCATTGTTAACAGCATTTGTTCCAGGACGTGCAACAGAGGAATGACGTCGTTCATCGCATAGTCCTGCCGACTCACGAATAGCGTGGCCTCCTCAAAGGGCCTGAGCAAGCGGCAGGTGTCACGCATGAGCTGCCAATGGCTGACATCTAAGTTACACAGGGGAGTACCTTTATCCGCTTGTAACATCAGGAAATCGGTGATGGCCTTTCGCTGTTCGTAAAGGCGGTCTAACATATGTAGGGTTGAATTCCACCTTGTTGCAACGTCGCAGATCAGGCGATGCTGTGGAATTCCGTTCTGCCGCTGCAGCTCAAGGAGGGTGTGCTTTGCGGTGTAGGAATGGCTGAAATGCATGCAAAGTTTACGTGACATTTTAAGGATGTCTTGCAGTGGGATGGTGGATTTTAGGAACCCGCTTGACAACCAGATTGAACACGTGAGCCATGCATGGCGCATGGCACAACCTTCCTTGACGCAGAGCAGACACCATGTTCTTTCCGTTGTCGGTCAACATGGTTCCGATTTTCAGTTTGCGCGGAGACAGCCATCTGTCGATTTCTCTGTTCATTACACTCAGAAGTTCCTCCCCTGTGTGACTACGTTCGCCAAGGCATACCAGGTGCAGCACAGCGTGACACCGTTGCGCCCTGCACATGTGATATGCCGGTCGGGTAATGGGACTTGGCACGGGGGTGGCGGCTGAGGACACGGCGGAAGAAGAGGTGGTAGAGGCGGACATCTTTGCTGGACCAAGGACGTGCAAACGTGGAGGCAAAAGCGGCGTGACCTGTCCAAGTTGCTGGTGCGGCTGTGCCGGCACCACGTTCACCCAGTGGGCCGTAAATGACATGTACTGTCCCTGACCGTAGTTACAGCTCCACACGTCGGCGCTGCCGTGCAGTTTGGCAGAGACCGACATGCTCAAAGACTGGCCCACCATCTCTTCTACATGTGAATGCAGGGCTGGCACTGCCTTTTTGGCGAAGAAATGCCGGCTTGGCACTCTCCACCGCGGCGCGGCACAAGCCATCATTTCTCGGAAAGGTGCTGAGTCCACCACTTGGAAAGGGAGGGACTGCAGCACCAGCAACTTGGACAGGAGGACGTTCAGCTTCTGCACTCGCAAACTGTTGTCTCTTGGAAACGGATTCCAAGAAAGACTGCTGACGGAATCCGTGAAGAGGAGTAGCAGGAGAAGGAGCATCTGAACGAGCGGAAGATGCCAACGAGCGACAACTCCCCTCAGCAGAGGTGTTGGAGCCTTGACTGGCTGATAGAGGGTGATTGACGTCGGGTGACGGAGCAAGTAACGGAGCGGGTGATGGAGCGGGGGCTGGGGCAGGCAGAACCGCCGTATCTTTATCACGATTTTCCCAGGCCACCGAATGGCGACGCTGCATATGCTGACGCAACGCTGTAGTCCCAACATGGGCCCCCTGGCCACGCTTGACTTTCTGGCCACATAGTCGACATACGGCTACGTTTACTTCCTCGGGCGGCTTGACGAAAAATTGCCACACCGCCGAGTAGGAAACTTTGCCCCCGCTACTCCTCACTGGCTGACTGCTACTTCCTCCGTGCACACCGGCACCACTACTGGCCGTGGTGGTAGGCTGCAGTGGAGCTGGTGCTCTACTCCGTGGCCGTTTGCCTCCACTGACACTGCTGCGACCCTGCTGCCTCCTGGGCAACCCACCGACTGTTTTGCTCGCTGCCAAGCTGGCACCCTCTTCTCCTGATGATGCGGAAGCAATAGCCTGATGACGACGAGGCTGCCAAGTGCGATCAGCCTCATCATCATCAATTAGGGTCTCCGCCTCACTACTAGCCCCCTCGGCTGCGTGTGGGTCAGGAGACAGACCTGTCTCTAGACCGGCTACCGAGCCACTCTCCTCGCCAGTACTTCTTCGCCTGGCTGCTGAAGAGGCGGATGTCTCCCCCCGTTCCTGACCGCCCTCTGTTAGCTCTTCCTCACTGTACAGTGGGGCTGAGCCCACAGCATGCGATACTTCGCTTGGTGAGGGAACACCAAAGGACAGGGGCAGGTAGAGGACACGTGATTTCAGTGGGCTTGCTCCCGGGCCATGCCAACTAACGGTTGTGTCTGACGTACCCACCGACCGTTGGCTGTAGGTGTCAGAGGTGACCTGGGAAGAGGAAGACGACCGAGCCAACCAATCGATGACGGCAGGGTTGTCGGAGACACGACCGCTGGATGACACCGGGAGCACTGGCCTCTGGCTGCGACTAGTGCTGCCTCGACCCCTCCCTCTGCTGCCACGTCTGCTCGCTCCTGAAACATTGCCTCCTCTGCCACTCCTCTGCGTGTTGTCTGACATACTCTTTAATTCAACGATTCTGTGTCACTGAGTAACGATTCTGTGTCCCTGAGTAACGATTCTGTGTCCCCGAGTAACGATTCTGTGTCCCTCAGTAACGATTCTGTGTCCCTCAGTAACGATTTCTGTGTCCCCGAGTAACGATTCTGTGTCCCCAGTAACGATTCTGTGTCCCTCAGTAACATTTCTGTGTCCCTCAGTAACGATTCTGTGTCCCTCAGTAACGATTCTGTGTCCCTGAGTAACGATTCTTTGTCCCTCAGTAACAATTCTGTGTCCCCAGTAACAATTCTGTGTCCCTCAGTAACAATTCTGTGTCCCCAGTAACAATTCTGTGTCCCTCAGTAACAATTCTGTGTCCCCCAGTAACAATTCTGTGTCCCCCGAGTAACGATTCTGTGTCCCCCGAGTAACGATTCTGTGTCCCCCGAGTAACGATTCTGTGTCCC